TGTGTGTGTGTGTGTAGGTGGTTAGCGGGTGTTCTGGTGTGGCACACTCCTCTCCTATTAAATACTAATAGCTATTGTCCTTATACCTCCTCGTTCTTTACTGTCTCTCTTTTTGTTTTGTACCTTTCCTTCTAATAACACCTCTAACTTCTATTAGACTTATCTCTCCTCTTTTCGCTGTTGTTTTTGATGTTGCTGTCGTTGTTGTCTTCGGTACTTATATGACCTAATTAGGCTGCATGTGCCGTAAAATGTTTACTGAAACTAAGGTAAAACATCTCCACCTCGATCTTCGGCATTGAGAATTTTAAGTGATTTTGTTTCAAGTGCCGTAAAACCCTTACTTAAACTAAGGTAAAACACCTCTACCGCTAATCTATGGCACTTAAAATTTTGACCTAATTGTGTTTCAAGTGTCGTAAAACTAAACGCCGTGTCTCCAGTGCAGCGGAACACATTCCCCCACTGGCATACACAGATAGATGACCTCGTGTCAACGATGCTACCTGACGATAACGACTGCAGTTTTGAATTATTATTTTTTTCTTTTTTTTAGTACTTTTGTTTTGGTTTTGGATTTGTTTTGGGTGTTTGTTTAGTGATGGATATGTTTTTTGTTTTGTTTGGTTTGGGGGTTTTTAAAGCCTCGTTTATCGCGTTGTGATAAATGTACTGGGATAAGAGAAGCGTAGTGTGTATGATTCAGTGAATCAGTGGCACTGTCAGTCGAAAGGGGCCTCGAGTGGCCGGGTTCAGCCGTTATCATGCGCGTGTGCGCGCGCGCGTGTGTGTTTGTGTGTCTGTGCGCCTCTCTGTTTTGGCATAACTTGTCATAGTGTTATTTGAGAAGCACCGCCGCCATCTTTGGTTCGCCGGTTCGTCCCTTCCCTCCCAGCACACGCCGGGCCAACCAACCAACCAACTGTTTGTCCGTCCGTCTGCCTGCCATGTCGGCTGCGAAAAGGCCTAAGTCAAAAGTGCGCTTGTTACCAATCGTTGTAACAGCTGTAGCCGAGTAGTCAGTAGTTAGTCAAGTGTTGTGTGTCTGTGTGATTATTTCCTTGATCTCTTCGGATATAATGTAATTTACTCTCGTCTTGTGAAGTTTGTGGGCTAGAAGAAGCGGAAAGGTGGGCGGTTCATGTGTAATATGCAAAGAATTTGTGCGTTGAATTTATAATATGGAGCTGTGGTTGGAGGCGTTGTTCTGATAGCGCGGCTATTGCTGTGTGTGAACGGAATTATTTTTTTCTTCTCCAAAATCTTTGGATTACGCAGAGATAGACGACTGGCTTCTGTGGTGTAGTGGTTAGATGCTTCACTGTCACATGCTGGAGATCCGAGTTCGATTCCGGAGTAGGGATAATTTTTATCGAGTATCTTAACTCTTGTTTTTCTTCTGGGATGTCTCGTGCCGCTCAGCCCGGGTTGGCTTTGCCAAGCAGGGTCAGAAGCCTGCCTCGTTTCGTATGATTTAATTTTTTTCGATTAGAGTGTAAAATCATGTACATAAAAAAGAGCTTTGTATCTTCAAACGCTCGTTGCATATTTTTATTTTTCTTGTTCTTTCATTTATACTTCAAGGCTAACTTCTCTCTGATGGTGAAAAAAGGACGCCACTGGTAGATTTGCTTCTTCGCTGTCCCATTTTTTGTTTCTACTGGTTTGCCGCCACCCCCCCC